GTTGTGTTACTTTTTTATTAAAAGGAGAAGGGGATTTCTATCTTTAAAAGATAAAACTACACTGAAAACGTAGCTTTATAACGGTGAAAGAATTTTTGAAATCGGCCAAGTAGTTGTGTTATTTCAATAATAAAAATACAAATCTTTCCTCTTTCCAATATTAGTATAGTGGTTTTGAGGATAGGCCTAATTTTTGTCCCTTTTCCTTTCCACTCGTATCGTAAGAGGAAAAGATGAGAAGGAAAAGTGGATGACGGTGGAGACGCATAGGAAGGGGAAATGTCCTCTTTATGTGCGTCTCCGTCAATGAAGGGTAGGCAGCGCTGCAATTGCGGATGTTTATGTGCAGCGTCGCTTTCCATTTCGGTGGATTCAGGTGGCTTGTGAGTTTGCCAACTTATATTATAAAAAAAAACTGTCAGTGAGATTATGTGGAAACTGTTTCAAGTGTCAATACCTCCTCTATACATATTTTTAATCTCTTTGTTAATTAGCAAACAGCAAGTAAACCAATATGAGGTTATTTGTGAGAAGTTTCATTGTAAGGAAATAAAGTTTTTGTAAAAAAAAAAAAATTTTCTAAAAGTGGTGCACCGCGTAACGCCGCGACTGTACAAAAAAATATACAAAAGTATTGAAATTACTTACTTAATATGACTGAAATCGCATTTCTTTACCCAGTCCACGTAATAACTGAGCTGTGGCATTTGATAGTGATGTAAATACCGGAGTAGAGACCTCTTGAACAGGGTAGGGGACTCCCCGTCGTGTGGCATAGAGTCTACCGGAAGAGGTGGACATGCAGGACTGAACCATAGACTACAAATATAATCTATTGTTAATTTATAAAAATACAGAAAAAAATACAAAATAAGAATTCTGAAAAAGTGTAAAAAATTGAAAAAAAAAACATTAAATAGCTTAACATTTCTATTTCTTTAATATTCTTAACTGGTTTTCTTAGATATAAAAAAAAACATACGAAAAACACAAAGAAAATTAACAAAATCATTGATATTTTTACTTAATCTTTAACTCGGGAGAGTTTTTGTAGCAAAAAACTGTTTTTTTTTTATGGTTCTCATCTTTTATTGTATTTGAGACTAGCTGTTCCCATGCGGCTTCATCCGCATGAAATTATAACTATGTTTTGTTTACATTTGCCAAATTTTTAAATACAAACGTCAAAATGACCGTTACCATAATAACCTCGCTTTCTTAATGTTGGCAGCTTGTAGTTTATGGTCCCTTTCCCACATTATGGTTATTATCCAAAATGTTTACCCCTTTACTTAAATGGCGTGAAAATGTATAGCCTAAAGCGTGACGTAAGTGTAGGGCAATTCATTAAAGAAAGAATTATTCAAAAATATGGTGTAATTGCTGACATGTTAGGCAACAAAGAAGTGTGTGTTTACGCTTTATTATAATAATATAGAAGTGTAGATGTGATTTAAAATATATTTTTTTAGATTAGTTTTTCATCACACTGGACACTATCGAATAGAGGGTTAAGGGTATGAAAACTTACCCCTGAGTCCTATTTTCCCAATCATCAATATAAAGGTTGGCAGTTGAAATAACGACTCTTAGAGAACCATCTTCGTAACAAAGTAACATCATTTTCCTTAAAAAAAGCCATATTTAGATACTAGCTGTTGCTCCCGATTTCGTCCATGTGAAATTAGAAAACAGTAAAAGTATAGTCTATGTTACTAAGTGATAACATAGTTTTTTAATGGTGATTTTTTTTTAAATCGTCCGAATAGTTTTTGAGTTATTTAAATACATACAAAAATCCAAAAAAATCAATTTTTTACTCTTTATAACATTAATAAGGATTAGCTGGGGTCTAAAAGTAAACTGTTTATTAAGGTATAAACAGTAATAATAAAATATAGCATATATTACTCAGAGATAAATTACCTTTCTAATAGTGAAAAAAAATTTAATTAACCCAGTAGTTTTTATGAATGAAATACATACAAAAATACAAACATATCTTCATAATACTAGTATAGATTCAAAATGTTTATTTTAAGAAAACCCTTATTTACATATATGATTTTCTATTTTCCAATAATATTAAAAAGAAATATGCGTGAAACGGAACAATTTAGCTGTCAAAAGTAAAAACCCATAGATAACTTTTTATGACTCACGTGTGATGCTTTCCGAACGGTGTTGCCATAGACACGTAGTGTGCGTCCACATTCGGTTTCTTTTTGCTAAGCGATTTCATGTCCCCGCAATCATCACCATAGAGTATTGTTAACTTTTTACCACTGGTAAAAGGCAATAGAAGTATTATTTTTTGATTTTATATCTATACCAATATTATAAAGAGGAAAGATTTGTTTTTGTATGTATTGAAATAACTCAAAAACTACTGGGGCAATTTTAAAAATTCCTTCTGTAATTCTTCAAAAATTCATTTAAAGGCTACGTTATCAGTAACATAGGAATTACTTTTCATTACATTAAAAAAAAACCTATACTTAGCGATAACATAGCTTTTTAATTAAGATAGAATTGAACTTGGCCCAGTAGTTTTTGAGTTATTTCAATACATGCAAAAATTAAAGTGCCGGAGGTCTAATTTAAGTCCCTTTCTCTTTACCACCCTTTTCTTATAAGGAGAGGTTGGAAAGAGACAGTGGATTCGACAGTGGATGAAGGTAGGAAGGGGAAATGTCCTCTTTATGTGCGTCTCCTCCTCCGTCGTATAAGGGTAGGCAACGCATCTGCAATTGCGGATGTCTGGGCAGCGGTCGCTTTGCCATTTTGGCGGATTCAGGTGGCCGCTTGCTCGTTTGCCACCTTATGTTATAAAAAAAATCTTTCCTCTTTATAACATTAGTATAGAAGAATAGATTTTTTTTTTTAATAATTTTACCTGTATCCAGCAAAATAATACTGAGCTAGTAACCATCCTGGTTCTACCATAAAATTTATTTGCAAAGAACACTTTAATTCACCCAAACTTCTATCCAATATTTCTGTAACAATAATTTTCTTTTAAAAATTATTTGGCTCCATCTGGCTTGTTTTTATATAAAGAAATTCCAAAACATATACTAGCTTTCAGCCGCGACTAAGTCCATGAAGAATTAAAAAAAAGTAGCCTTTGTGTTCTTCCAGACTATCCTCTATGTCTATACCCAATTTCATCGAGATCCGTTCAGCAGTTTAGGCTACAAACTGTAACAAACATCCATCCATCTAAACTTTCGCATTTATTATATTAGTAAGATAGTAAGAAGTAAGATAAATATTTTTTAATTATTTTGTCTCCGTCTGACTAGCATTTATATATAAATAAAATAAAATAAACATAATCTTTTTGATATTACTTTTAATATACAGTAGAACCTCGATAACTCAAACCTCGGTAACGTAAAAACCTCTGTAACTTCAAAAAATAATATGTTCCCTTCCCATCAGAGCCCAAAACCTCTACAACATAGACCCTTGATAACTTAAAACCTCTATAACTTAACACATTTTGTGTTTCACTTAGACTTTAATTTATCGCTTTTCTACTGTATTTTAAATTCAGCAAAATTAAAAGTACTACAATTTGTTTTTCCCAATATTATAAATGCGAAAGTTTAGATGGATGTTTGTTAGTTTGTAGCCTAAACTGCTGAATGTATCACGATGAAAGGAATAGATGTAAAGGATATCTGGTATTATATATATTATATGTTTGTCTTATATATCTATAAAATACCCTTGTGTCTGTCTTGCTTCTCCTGTCATATTGGATTCCCTGGAAGAGATCGCTTCCAGCGATAAGGCCGCCCTTGCGCAAGTCTAATGTTACTTAATTTTAGCTTTCTTGTATAATATTATATGTACAAAAGTGTTAAATAAATAAATAAATATCTGGAAGAATACATAGGTTACTTTTTTTTAATTCCACGTTGACGGAGTCACTAGAAAGCTGGTAATTACATAAATTACAGTATTCCAAAAATCCTGAAATTATTAAACGAAACCTTAAATTATGTTATCATCATCCACTTGCCCTTAACCCTGTAGAGGGTCGGCACAGTATGTGCTCCATACATCCATCAGTCATATCTGAATACACACCTTTCTTAAGCATATATTTCACACAATCCATACTTTCTTCGGTCTTCCTCTACCTTTGTAAAAAAAGTAAAACTATTAAAAAGTATATTACTTACCTAGAAATGTAATAGAATTCGTCTGTCTGTGCGTCTCTTTAGAATCAGTTATTGTTGTATAAAATATATGGTAGGGAGCAGTAGCAGCATGCTTCGCTGCCATCCCACCAGGTGGTATCACCACTTTTAAAAACTGTTCAGGTTTACGGGTCGGTACTATTATAGGTATATATTCACCTAAAATAGAATAGAAAATGCTTACGAGTATCTTCCTTATCCTATCCTCAAGTAGTGACGCAACAGGTTCTTATTTGTTTCATTTTGTAAACAAAAAAGTGGTTATTGTAAGAAAACCGTTAAAGATAGATATATGCTATCGCGGACTTTTCTGTAGAACTTTTTGAGATCTACAACTCTTTCATACATCATTTTTATATACCTCTAACGGTTTAGGCAGTGTAAGCTGAGAAAAGTTAAAGTTTAGTGAATTTTTAACGCTGGCGTTCAGAAACACGCTGTTTATTAATAGTTCCTAAACATTAGTAATAATAAAATATAGTCTATGTTACTCACAGATAAATTACCTTTCTGATGGTGAAAGAATTTTTCAAATCGGTCCAGTGGTTTTTGAGTTATTTCAATACATACAAAAATACAAAGTTTTCCTCTTTATAATATTAGTATAGAAGTATAGATAAAGTGGCAAACGAGCAAGCGGAATGAAACCGCCAAAATGGCGAAGCGACCGCTGCACAGACATCCGCAATTGCAAATGCGTTGCCAACCCTTATTAGAGAGAAGACACACATAAAGAGGATGTTTGCCCCATGTATCTCCTCCTCCGTCAAATCCACTTCCCCCTCCCATCCTCTTCTTAAAAGAGGGTGGTAAAGAGAAAGGGACTTAAATTAGGCCTCCGGCACCACACTCATCAGACGAAACACGGAATAGCTTCCATTTGACGGCTGTCTTCTGTGTGGTCGTGGTATTACTGGGGGCGTGCCCTGCAGTGCTAACATGTTAAAGCGGGCACTACCACTGTAGTACAACTCTATTGTCATCTCAGTCACTCCTTTCTCGATACTTCTCTTTCCAAAAAAAATAAATCTGTACATAAGTGTACTTAACAGCAAGTCAAGTATTAAGAATCTTTTTTAACAAACCTTTCACAATTTGGTGTACTGGTGATTTGCTTTTCTCTCTTTCATCTCTTCTTTTGTCTTTTTCTAAATCCATTTCTTTATTTGCATTTAATTTGCTTCCATCACTAACACTTAACCTATTTGTATGACTGCTCTGTGGTAAATCTTGAATTAATTCATTCGATTCTTTTACATGTGTACTAGAGAAAAAGACAAAAATTAATCAACAATACTTTATTTAGTAAGGACTAAGTAGTATATATATTTACGTATATTTTTATGATTATACGTTCTGTCACCCGCATTCGTTAGAGCAAATTTGGACCACTTGAATTCTGACAGTGCGGAACTTAAAAAGAAAGTAGCCTATTATATCCCTATCTAAATTAGCTACTCTCCAGTGAAAGTCCAAATCGAAATCGGCCTATCTGTTTCGGATATTAACAGAACAAACGCGGCTTGCGGACGGACAGACAGACAAAAATAATTTAAATGCCATTTTCGTTATCAGCAACGTAAATACATCTTCCAGAAATCTGGATTTTTTTTTTGATATTACAGACACTCTAAATTTATTATATATATTGATAGAATATAGATAAGTTGCTTTTACAATAAGAAATCTGACATTACAAAGAATGCTAAATCCTGCTTCAGAAAACTACTTTCAACCTTTTACTGATGTTAT